TGGTGAAACCCCGTCCCTACTAAAAATACAAAAATTAGCCAGGTGTAGTGACAGGTACCTGTAATCCCAGCTACCTGGGAGGCTGAGGCAGGAGAAATCGCTTGAACCCAGGAGGCAGAGGTTGCAGTGAACCAAGATAACACCCCTGCACTCCAGTATGGGCAACAAGAGTGAATATCCATCTCAAAATAAATAAATAAGAAATTTAAAAACCTGGAAGTTTCTCAGCAAAAGTAGGTAACTTGCCTTCTGTTGCATTATCCAGTTTCCTGCATAGGTTCTGTGTTCAATGTAGTATTTAAGTACCTCTAAACAGGTACATCAGTGAAAGAGAAAATCTAATTGCAAGGAAATGAGCCTATTTTTTAAAAAAAAACCAAAACCCTGCTCGGCCAGTTGTGGTGGCTGACACCTGTAAACTCAGGACTCTGGAAGGCTGAGGTGGGAGGATCACTTGAAGCAGAAGTTTGAGACCAGTCTGGGCTATAAAGTAACACTCTTTACCCCCCCCCCGACTCTGCAAAAAATAAAAAATAAATTCCCTGAATGTAGTGGGGAATCCCTATAGTCCCAGAAACAGGGGAGGCTGAAACAGGAGGATCAGTTGAGCCCAGAAGTTTGAGGCTACTGTGAGCCATGACTGCACCACTGTACTCCAGCCTGGGTGAGAAAATGAGACCCTGTCTCTAAAAAACAAAACAAAACTCTGCTTTACTGAAGTAGGATTGACATACAATAAACTTCACATACAAGTTGACACTTATACATCTATGAAATCATCACAATCAGGATATGAAATTTATTCTTCTACCTCTTTATAATTCCTCCCCACAGCTTCCTCACACCCCCCTGCTTCTGTCCACAAGCAATCATGGATGTTTATTTGCTTTCTGTTACTATAGATCAGTTTGTATTTTCTAGAATTTTGTAATGGATGGTACCTTTATACAATTCAATAGGTACTTTTCTTTCTTTCTTTTTTAAAATTTTACTTTAAGTTCCAGGATACGAGTGCAGAACATGTGGGTTTATTACATAGGTACACATGTGCCATTGTGGTTTGCTGCACCTGTCAAGCCATCATCTAGGTTTTAAGCCCCACATACATTAGCTATTTGTCCTAATGCTCTCCCTCCCCTGGCCCCCCTACCCCTTGACTGGCCCTGGTGTGTGTCGTTCCCCTCCCTGTGTCCATGTGTTCTCATTGTTCAGCTCCCACTTATAGGTACTCTTTTATTCATCTGGCATCTTTCACTCATCTTAATGAATGGAATTAATGGAATAACTGAAAATTCATCTATGTTGTATCAACAATTTATTCCTTTTTATAACTGAATAGTATTCAGTTGTATGGATATATCAACATTTATCTATTCACCTATTGATGGACATTTGAGTTATTTTCAGCTTTTGACTATTATAAGTAAAGCTGCTATGAACATTTATATACAAGTCTTTGTATGGAGATATGTTTTCATTTTAGGGGGGTAAATACCTAAGAATGAAATGGTTGGATTATATGGTAGGTGTATTTTTAACATTTTAAAAAACTGTTAAACCATTTTTCAAAGTGGCTCTACCATTTTACATTCCCACCAACAAGGTATAAGAGTTGCAATTCCTCCACATCTTTGCCAGCACTTGGTCTGATCAGTCTTTTTAATATTACCCATTCCAACAGATGGGTAATGGTATCTCCCTTATGGTTTTAATTCACATGTTTCTAATGACTAATGATGTTGAACATCTTTTCATGTGCTTATTTTTCATCTATATATCTTCTTCTGTTAAGTGTCTTTTCACATTTTATACCCTCTTTCCCCTGTTCCCCTTTTTATGTGTTGGACTTTGAGAGTTCTTTATTCTGGATACAAGTCTTTTATCAGATATGATCTGAAAACACTTTCTTCCAGTCTGTGGCATGTATTTTTTTTCTTAAGAGTGTATTTTCAATAACAGAAGTTTTTAATTTTGATACAGTACAGTTAATCAAATGTTTATTTTATGGATTGGGCTTTTGGTGTCATATGTAAGAAATCTTTGCCTAATCCAAGGTTACAGCTATTTTTTTTCTATGTTTCCTCTTTGGAGGTTTATAGTTTTTGGTTTGACATTTAGGTCTATGATTGAGTTTGAGTTAATTTTTGTTTATGGTGTAAGGTATAATTTGAAATTCATTTTATATGAATATACACTGGTTCAGCACTGCTGGTTGAAGACTGTTCTTTCTCCACTGAATTACCTTTGCACCTGCATTGAGACTCACTTGTTCATATACATGTGGTTCTAATTCTGGACTCTACTCTGTTCCACTGGTCTCTTTGTCTGTCTTTCATTCATTTATTTATTTTTTTTGAGATGGAGTTTCACTCTTGTTGCCCAGGCTAGAGTTTAATGGCATGATCTCAGTTGACTGCAACCTCTGCCTCCCAGGTTCAAGCGATTCTCCTGCCTCAGCCTCCCAAGTAGCTGGGATTACAGGCATGTGCCATCATGCCTGGCTGATTTTGTATTTTTAGTAGAGATGGGGTTTCACAATGTTAGTCAGGCTGGGGGTCTTGAACTCCTGATCTCAGGTGATCTATCCACCTTGGCCTCCCAAAGTGCTGAGATTATAGGCGTGAGCCACCGAGCCCGGCCTTATTTGTCTGTCTGTATACCAACACCACACTCTCTTGCCTATAGCTTTATGAAATCTTGAAAAGTGTTAGTCCTTCAACTTTTTTTTTTTGAGATGGAGTTTCCCTCTTGTCGCCTAGGCTGGGGTGCAATGGCTTGATCTCAGCTCACTATAACCTCTGCCTCCCGAGTTCAAGCGATTCTCCTGCCTTAGCCTCTTGAGTAGCTGAGATTACAGACACGAAACACTATACCTGGGTAATTTTTGTATTTTTAGTAAAGACGGGGTTTCACCATGTTGGCCAGGCTGATCTTGAACTCCTGACCTCCTCCGAGGTGATCTACCTGCCTCGATCTCCCAAAGTGCTGGGATTACAGGCATGAGCCACTGTGCCCAGCCTCAACTTTGTTCTTTATCAAAGTTATTTTGGCTATTCTAAGTCCTTTACATTTCCATATGAGTTTTAAAATGAGTTTGGTAATTTCTATAAAAATGCTTGGATTTTGATTGTGACTGTATTGAATACATGGATAAATTGGGGGAAATTGACATCTTAATAATATGTCTGACTCATAACTGACCCTATGCACAAAGTATTGCCTCCTGGGTTCAATCAATTCTTCTGCCTCAGCCTCCCAAGTAGCTGGCACTACAGTCACGTGCCATCATGCCCCGCTAATTTTTGTATTTTTAGTAGAGACAGGGTTTCACCACGTAGGCCAGGCTGGTCTCAAACTCCTGACCTCGTGATCCACCCACCTTGGTCTCCCAAAGTGTGGGGATTACAGGTGTGAGCCACTGTGCCCAACCTTATTTAGGTCTTATTATTTTCTCAGCAGTATTTTGTAGTTATCAGTGTACAGGTCTTTCACATCTTTTGTCAGATTTACCCCTAAGTGCTTCATATTTTTCTGTTCTTGGAAGTAGTATTTTTTAATTTTTTTCTATTCTGATTGTTCATTGCAAGTGCAATTGATTTTTTTATATGACATTATATCACAATCATAACCATGTACATGTATTAACTACCTTGTCAAATTCACTTCATTCTAGTAACTTTTTAAATAGAGTCTTACAGATTTTCTACATACATGATCCTTTTATCTGCCAATAAGTCAGTTTCACGTACTGCTTTCCACTCTGTATGCCTTTTATTTATATTTCTTGTGTTATTGCAGTGGCTAGGACATTTACTATAACACTGAATGGAAGTAGTGAGAATGGACATTCTTGTTTCTGATCTTAGGTGGAAAGTATTCAGTTTTTCCACCATGAAGTAGCTGATACTACTACCATGATACTATAGCTGCAGGTTTTTCATGGATGCCTTCCATCAAGTGGAGACGATCTCCATTTATTCCTAGCTGCAGGTTTTTCATGGATGCCTTCCATCAAGTGGAGAATTTCTCCATTTATTCCTAGCTGCAGGTTTTCATGGATGCCCTCCATCAAGTGGAGAATTTCTCCATTTATTCCTAGCTGCAGGTTTTTCATGGATGCCTTCCATCAAGTGGAGAATTTCTCCATTTATTCCTAGCTGCAGGTTTTCATGGATGCCCTCCATCAAGTGGAGAATTTCTCCATTTATTCCTAGCTGCAGGTTTTTCATGGATGCCCTCCATCAAGTGGAGAATTTCTCCATTTATTCCTAGCTGCAGGTTTTCATGGATGCCCTCCATCAAGTGGAGAATTTCTCCATTTATTCCTAGCTGCAGGTTTTTCATGGATGCCTTCCATCAAGTGGAGAATTTCTCCATTTATTCCTAGCTGCAGGTTTTCATGGATGCCCTCCATCAAGTGGAGAATTTCTCCATTTATTCCTAGCTGCAGGTTTTTCATGGATGCCTTCCATCAAGTGGAGAATATCTCCATTTATTCCTAGCTGCAGGTTTTTCATGGATGGCTTCCATCAAGTGGAGACGATCTCCATTTATTCCTAGTTGCTGAGAGCTTTTATCAGGAATAGATGTTGTATTTTGTCAAATGCCTTTTCTCTATTTATTGAAATGATCATATGGGTTTTTTTTTTTTAGTTTGATAATTTGGTGAATTACATCTATTTTTTGGATGTTAAACCAAACTTGCATTCCTGGTTTTTTTGTGAGATTGCATAATATTTCCTCTTCCTCTAAGGAATCACCCAAGCAAAAGTGAAAATGAGAAACAGAAATGCAAATAACATGTTTGATGAAATTTTAGAGAGCAGAAACTCCAAACGAATTAGGTGGACAGGTTGCAAAACAGCAGTGGAAGTTGATATGAATTGATATAAATACTTTGGAGACTATTGGGCAACATTTACTAAAGTTGAACATTTGCATACTTTATGACCCAGAAATTCCAGTGCAAAAGAAATGAGTGACTCTCTCCACCAAAAGACTTAAAATTATTCAAACATGTTTTATTGACAGCTAAAAGCTGGAAATAATCCAAATGTTCATCAACAAGAGAATGGATAAATTATTGTCCTTTTGTACAATGGGATAGTACACTCTAATAAAAAAGAACAAACTGGCCAACCACCATGGCTCACACCTATAATCCCAGCACTTTGGGAAGCCCAAGCAGGTGGATTGCTTGAGTTCTGCGGTTTGAAATCAGCCTGTGCAACATAGCAAAACCCCATCTCTACAACAACAAAATACAAAATATTAGCCAGGCATGGTGATGGGTGCCTGTATTCCCAACTACTTGGGAGGCTGAGGCAGGAGAACCACTTGAAATCAGGAGGCAGAGGTTGTGGTGAGCTGAGATCACATCACTGTACTCCAGCCTGGGTGACAGAGAGAGACTCCATCTCAAACAAATAAAACAGCCATAAAAGCAGTTCAGTAGGCCGGGTGCGGTGGCTTAAGCCTGTAATCCCAGCACTTTGGGAGGCCGAGGCGGGTGGATCACGAGGTCAAGAGATCAAGACCATCCAGGTCAACATGGTAAAACCCCGTCTCTACTAAAGATACAAAAAATTAGCTGGGCATGGTGGCGCGTGCCTGTAATCCCAGCTACTCAGGAGGCTGAGGCAGGAGAATTGCCTGAACCCAGGAGGCGGAGGTTGCGGTGAGCCGAGATCGCACCATTGCACTCCAGCCTGGGTAACAAGAACGAAACTCCATCTCAAAAAAAAGAAGCAGTTCAGTAAAAGAATCAAAAATGTAATTCACTGAATAAACAATACAGTAGATTAGTCCTCATAATAGATATAGAAAAAACAATTTTATAATTCAACATCCATTCTTGACCAAAATTGTTAGTAAACTAGGTCTTGAAAGGAATTTCTTTAACTGGATAAAAGTTAGCTACCAGAAATCTACAACAATCTACATAATTCTTAATGGTGGAAACTCAGAAGCAAGCAGTTCCTTTCAAATCAATGTCAAGTCAAAGATATCTGCCAGCAGCAGTTCTATGTGCCTTTGTCTGGGAATCCCAGCTTGCACCGTAAGATGAGGAGCACACAGGAAGAGGCCCTAGCCTGATAACATCTGTCTTTTAGATTAATGTGGTCTCTCAGTTTAGACAGGTTCATAACTTTCATACATGTTACAAATATTTTACCAGGATACGATATCATCTATTAATTTTTAAAAACCTGGTATTTTGGAGGTAAGACATTTGAAGACACAATCTGGAAAATATGATAGAACGAACAGATATTAAATCAAGTTCTTTTAAGCTGGAAAATAATTTCAAGGTAGGGAATTGTCACCTCAGAGTGACCCAAGTCTTTCAGCAAGCCCCAAAACCTGTGAAATTAACCTGTGTACATAGCTGTGCTTGCTTCCAAAAACGGAGGCTGGAAGCCAGTAACCACAAAGGAGCCACAAAATGAGAAGAGAACTCAGCAGTGCTACCCTTAATCCTTGCCTCATTACCATATTGAAATCTCCATGCAGGTGGAGGGTAGAGGTGCACCTTGCCAGGGCACATATAGGGCTGGGGTGAAGTAGAGACTGACACAATCCAGTTCTCCTTGGAAAGCCCTACCTTCCAGGAATCCCTGCCCTCAGTCTCTACTTACCTGCACTTAGACATCTTACAAACCCCTTTCACCCTACCCCCAACTCCCCAAGAAGATGCTTTGAGCACAAGCTCCTCTTCTCCATTCCTTGTCAACAATAAAGTTTCTGCTCTGCTTAACTGAACCTGGTCTCATTCCATTGGCATGAACCACGTCAAGCTGGGAAAAAAAAACCACTGGGATCACAGACCCCCTGAGTTGAGGGTCGGTAACAAAATCAGTACAAAGAATGCAAATATGAGCTCCAGAATATAGATGAAAATGCTCAGCAGAAAAAACAAACGAAAAAACTTGTCCAAAGGTGGCTGCAATCAGACCCTGTTGGATCCTCACAAATGCCAGCTGTTTACCTCAGGGGCATTGGATAATATCAAGCTGGAGCTGTGCCAGGAGTCGGAGTCCCAGCTCAGTCGGCTGTATCGGCTGTATCGGCTGTATCGGGCTGTTCCTTCTCCAGGGTTCTCAGGAACTCTGCTGTCGTTGCCTCTGGGTCTCTGGTGAGGGGGAGTGGGGACAGGCCGGAGATTTGGGGCAACGGGTGAGTCAACGAAGCTGTCACTGTGATGACAGTGGGCCTGAGATTTCTCTTCTTACCCTCCCGATCTCCCCGAGCGTTGTTGTCTTAGCCTGTGGGACACCCCTCCCCCACGTCCCTTCCTACCTCCCACCCCCGCCAAACCCTCCCCCTCGTTGCCAGAGCCAGAGGGCTCGCCCTGGGCCGTCGGTCCCCAGTCCGCGCGCGGGAGTTCGGGGACATGACGCTTCAGGGCCGCCAGCACATTCCCGGTGTGGATGCCCACGGCCCTCTCACCCGGGCCAGGCTTGGGCCTTCTCTCCCAGCCTCAGACCCTCGTCTGTCCGCTCTGCCCGAAGGGCATCGCTCCGGCCTCGGCCCCCTCCAGCCGTCGCCCTCTCCCCTATTCGGGCGCCTGGGCCTGGGGAGAGCAGTGCCCTCGGTGCTCCGCACCCCGCGGCCGGCCTCCAGTGTCCTCGCGCGGTCCCCACGGCAGGGGATCACCCACTGCGCCTTCCCCTGCCTCAGAGTAGCTGCTACTTGACCAACTACTGGTCTTCTCCATGCGCCCTGCCCGAAGTGGTCCCTTACCTCCCAGCGCGTCCGTGACCGTGGCCTCAGTGTCCCTGTCCCTGCCCTCGGGCCTTGGGCGTCTAGCGCGCGCTGCACAGGCGTCCTTCCCCTCCCTGACGACCTTCTCCTCCCTCCTTCCTTCCCCGTGGCCGGCTGCCGCTCCCCCGACCCCCAGTTTCGCTCAGGCTCTCCTCGCTTCCCCGTTTCTCTGCACCCGCGAGTCTGAAGGCCTGCACCGCCCTCGCGGTTTCCCGCAGCTGGCTCTTGGAGGTTCCTGGGTGTAGCACGGCTTCCTTCTTTCCGGGACCCCTCTCCTTCCGTGAGTGGTTACTGACGCTCCATCTCTTGAAGGGGCCCCTCAGCAGCTTGCGCCCCCTGATGTCGCCTTCCCTGTTCCTTGGGGAGGAGAGAAACCCTATTGCGCACTCCCACCCATCCTCCAGCACAAGTATGGACCGCTGTGGATCCCCTCTCTCCTTAGACGCAAGGCTCCTCTCGCTGTCACCGCCTCCGCTCTGGTTCCTTATGCTCTCCTTGACCTTATTTTTCCGGCCAGGCTGAAGTGGTTGCTGGATTCCGGGCCCACAGTCCAGTCCCAGGAGAGCGGGCTGCAGGGTGCGGTGTGGGAGGGCAGGCAAAGACGTCCACCCAGCAGGCCAGGTCACACACAGGCCAATAGGAAGGCTCGCCCTTCTTGGCTCAAACCAGAATGGCTTAGAACTCCATCATTTCAACATGCACATTCTCCACAGACTTGTATTTTTAAGGCCTTTAACTCTAAATGGACAAGTTTTTCTCCTTTTAAAGGAATTTCAGGAATGAAGTTGACAGTATCACGTTTTGCCTCTGCAAAGTCTCTGTCTGGCTTTACTGCCTGCTATCCCTACACCCCACCCCCATTTGCCTGCCCCTAGAGTTGTCCATTCCATTCTGTTTATCTTTAATTTTTATGTGTTCTCTCCAAGAAGTGTCTTGTTTTCCTGAAATGCCTTTTAAATTTGTGTAAAAGGAATTCTCATTCCATTTCTTTTTCAATGCTAAGATTTTAAGATTGGTCTGCGTACCTTCTGCCCCTTCTAAATGCTGCCTTTTTTCCAGAGGGCCCATCTGCTTTGTTTTACCCTTCCCTTTACCTACCCTGCTCTCACTAGTAACAGTGCAATAGGCATTCTCATAATACCCTCTTATGCTTCGCTTCTCAAACAGGGTGCAATTTATCACCTGGGAATCTTGTTAAAATGCAGGCTCTTGGCCCAGCACCGTGGCTAATTCTTGTAATCCCAGCACTTTAGGAGGCTGAGGTGGGTGGATCACCTGAGGTCAGGAATTCAAGATCAGCCTGGCCAACAGGGTGAAACCCTGTCTCTACTAAAAATACAAAAATTAGCCAGACATGTTGGTGGGTGCCTGTAATCCCAGATACTCAGGAGGCTGAGGCAGGAGAATCACTTCAACCTGGGAGGCAGAGTGCAGTGAACCAAGATTTTGCCACTGCAATCCTGTCTGGACAACAGAGCGAGACTCTGTCTCCAAAAAAAAAAAAAGAAGAAAAGGAAAGAAACGCAGGCTCTGATTCAGACGGTCTAGAGCAGGGACTGAGACTGCATTTCTAACTAGCTTCCAGGTGATGCCTGTGTTGCTGATTCTGGGACCACATTTTGAGGAGCAAGACTTTTATAGACCTTTGCGAAAATTCAATCTGGGGTTCTGGGTCCTAGGGTATATGTTGATCTAATTTGTTGAGTATTGCCCATCTGCTCTCCAGTCTGGCTGCACCTCCATACCCCATGCCAGCTGGGCAGGAGGGTAAAATGTATATATTATGTGGGGAAAGGAAGAAGGTCTTCTTGCTCCTGCCCACATCCCATCCACCAGTGCATATGATCAGGGCCCAAAACTCCTCTCTGCCTTCAATGGAATGGACCCGAGGCTCCAGAGCAATGTCCCTGGCTAGCAATGCATGAGCAAGTCAATAATGGATTCAGGCCAGGCAACCTGGTCTTTGTCCTCACTACGTGGGACCCTGAATCCTCAGCCCACCAGACATCTAGATTGATTTGGCTCATGACCTCCCTAGACCTGGGCTTTAGCTCTGATAGGAGCTCTTGAGATGCCATGGGGTCTTCAGTTCAGTTGTTTGTATTATCTTTGCCCTTTTCACCTTCCCATGAGTAGCCTGGTAAGAGTCAGATGGCCTTGCCTTGCCACTGGTGAATGACTATCCTGGGCCTGACTTCTCATCTCTAAAATGGGATGTTCACAGCATAGCTATAATTTGTGGTGCTAGGGGCGGTCCCAGGTCCTTCACTCGCATGCCAGAAGCCCTAAGACAGGAGTTCTTGCCTTAGTTTTACCCATAAGGAAAGAGGTTGAGCAAGGTTTAGCAATTTCTGCTAAGGCCATGGAGGTAGTAAGTGAGAGTTCTGTGATTCAAGTCCAGCCTCAGCTCATACACCAAAACCATCTAACCATGAGGCATGTCAGCTCCATGTCCCAGCTCGTCCTCACTACCAGGCCGTGATTCAGAGAGAACTACAATGAAACAGGAAGGAAGGACTGGACCTTGGGTTTGGGGCACTGATGCTGAACTCATCTAACGAGTGGCATGGAGGGTTGAAAAACTCTAAGGCAGAAATGAACCAGGGTTCTAGGGGCTGGCCCCAAGGGCCTGAGTATTTATGGGGCAAGAGAGGGGGACCTTGGGTCTGGGGCTTCAAGAGCAAGGATTTTAGGGTTATATATAAAGTAGGGATCAGAAGTGGGCGGAAGTTGGGATGACCAGGGATTGGGTGGGGGTCAGGTGTGGATAAAGTTGTCTATCATGTACCTTACTTGGTGATAAGCGATCACTCAATGTTTTGTTGGAGGGGCCAGCAGGCAAACAAATGGACAGCATTCAGGGCATCAAAGGATTTCCCCTTCCAAGGCCCTTCTGGTGCCTGGGTGGCTTGCTGGGTCAGTTTTGGAAACCCTGAGGCTATGCTCTCCCCACTCACAGAGCTGTGCAAGCATTGCCTGGCAACCTGCCCCAGGCCCAAGCATTTCACAATTAAAATAGTTCCAACATCTGCACATTTTGAGATTTCATGGCACACGACCTTTTACATCTTGTCCACACTTATCCAACCTTTTGTTAACCATTCTAGCACCAAAATTCTATCTAGGACGGAGAATTGATCTGAAAGCCAGAGAAGCTTCCTATTTCTTCAGCAGACTTTGGGGTCAAAAGATTTTTGAGCCTACAGAATGTTCTTAGAGCTCAAAACAGCATCTTATAGTTTTTTGGTTTTTACAAAATGCTTCACAAACAGATATTGCCTTTGACTCACAACAACCCCATGACAGGGGTGGCCCACCTAACACTGAGGCTCAAATGAATTAATTGGCCAAGGCCACACATTGTGTAAGTGGGTGAAATGGGACTTCTTGATCGTTTTTCCATAACAGACCTTGGGACTCTTAGAGAGTGAGTATCTGACCCCAGTTGGTCCATTTCTCAGACTTGGGAATGTGGACTGAGGCTGGAAGAAGGAAGTCTAGGGAGGACAATGCATGGGCTGCAAGGTCTGGAAGGCGAGTGAGTTGAGGTCTCCTGAGGCTTCTGGTCAGCCTTCTCCCTGATAGGTTTTCTGTCACTGGGACCCTCTCTAGAGTCTGTGGTTCTCCTGGAAATGGAAAGAGGGGATTGGTGGGAGGAATGGCAAGGCCAGGGGTACCCAGGTAGAAGTTCTCAGTGACTCTGAAGCTGAGACAGCTGAGTGGCTGTGAGAAAACGATGCTGTCACTTGCCAAGGGGGCTTCACGGGTATCACCACATCCACATGGGCGCTCTTGGTGGCTTGGCCAAGCTCTGCCCCTGGCTAAGCCATTTCTACCAATGGCTAAGCCATCTGTTCTGGCCTCTCTTCTCAAAGCCCCCAGCCCCTCACACCAGGAAGCTGCAGCAATGGCTTGGGGAAGGTGCCCAGGGGTCAGGCCACTCTACCTGTTAGGGACTGGAGGTCTGGGGCCTGTCAAGCCAGGGGGTCCTGGTCCCGTTGCCCTTCCTCTCCCGTCAGGGTCTCAGGCCCTAGGCCAGGGCTCAACAGATGCAGGCAGCTGGATGGGGTTGCCCTTCTATTGATCCAAGTTCTGAGCGTAAGCTGGGTGAGTCATGGAGGTGATGAGGCCCACGAGGCTCAGCAGCGTGGAGAAGAGCAGCAGGAAGGATGCCGTGAAGAGGAGGGCAGGCAGGGCACTGAGCACCAGCAGCAGGAGAGCCGGCAGCAGGTGGCGCCACACCGCAGCCATGACGGGCCACAAGGAGCTCAGCAGGTAGGAGCCAGTGGTGAAGAGCGCATGGCACAGCATCAGTGCCAGCAGCAGGTAGAGTATCCCCTCCAGACCCCACAGCAGGCGCTGCAGCGGTTGCCGCCAGCTCGAGGTGTTCCACCAGTGGATCCAGCTCCGGGGCACATGGGATGCCAACCAGTGCACCCAGCCTTGCCGTGTGAAACAGGCCGACCAGGGCGCTGCCTGCTGTGGCCCCTCTCCGGCCCCGATGGTATCTGTCTCCACTCGAGGCTGCTGCATCACGGCTGGTGCACCTGGGGAGAGGGCCAGGGTCTTGGAGATGCCTGGGACCTCAGGAGGGCAGAAAGGGGGTGCAGGGGTCAGGAGGGCATGAACATGGGTGGGTGGGGCAACAGAGTTGGGGCCTGAGACTTACCTCTGGGCAGAGTTCCTAAGTCATGTTGCTTCTTGCAGTGCCCAGGATGGCCTGGCAGGCAGATCCAAGTCCTCACTCTCATCTACCCCCACCCTCCCCAGAGGAGCCCCTTTGTGACCCGGGCTAGGGTGGGGTCCTGCCAAGAGAGGAGCCTCTGCAGGGTGTGAGGCCCACCCAAGTCCCTCTGCATGGACCGTCCAGGCTGGCAGGGGATCCTCGGAGCCCTGCAGGTGTACTTATCATGCTTTCTCATGGAAAGCCCTCCCTGGATGCCTGACCCTTCCTTGCTTTCCCTGCTGGCTGATATCTACCCGCTTCCACCCTGTTCTCTTACAAGTCTTTCTGTCTGGATCTTCATTCTCTAGAACCACAGAAGAGGCCAGAGTGGCTGCCCCAAACCCACAGGCTCTGAGATAGCTGCCACATCCTTCCCCGGGCTCCCTGGCTCGTATCCTGCCTTCTCTTGCTGCCCCAAGACTCAGACCCAGGTATCCAATACCTATGTTATGGGACTGGAGGTCCTGTGAGGTTCAGGCTGGGAAGAAAGGGGTAACGTCCCACCTGCCCAGCCAGGAAGGAGAAAACGGGGCCTGAGGAAGGAGGATGGCCATTGTATATTTGAAGGACACTGTTTTTGGGAGGGGCTCTCAGGCCCAAGGATGGAGGCAGAAGGCCAGGCCAAGCAGGGTCAAGGGCATGCCACAGGCTCTCAGGAGCAAGCCAAGTCCCAAGAGCAGCAGCAGCAGCACATCCAGGAGGTGAAGTTGTCCTGACACTGCCCCCATTTGCAGAAGTAGAGCCTCCTGCTGTCCTGGACCCTCACCGGCCCCCTGACTCTGGCCCCTGGTGAGAAGTTTGTGCTGTGGCCGTGTGCCACCTGTGGGCCTGCGGAGAGAGAGGGCTTAGGAAAATTGTCCACTGGACTGCCCACCTGCCAGGCTGCTGTCCACTTACCTATGGAGCAGGTCGAAGGTGAGGAAGCTGACTAGCAATAGCAGCAGCAGTAGGGCTGGGCCAGTTGTGGAAAAGACTGCCTGGATTGTCATCCCTAGTGCCCCCAGCCCTAGGACACTGTCTAGGAGCTGGGCCCAGCTAGAGCCCCAGGAGGACATGCACTGGATGACACGACCCCTCCCCAGCATCCAGACCCCTGGGAGGAACTGGGATCAAATCTGCAAGGGCTTTGGGTCTGGGTAAACAGAGCTGGGTCATGGAGAGAGGTGGAGGTAACAGGAAGAGCTAGTCCTAAAAGAGATCATAGAAGTGAGAATGGAGGAAGGGGTAGGGCCCTGGCAGACACAAGGGTAGGCTCAGAGTGGGGAATTAGGCTCCTGAGGAGTCTCCCCATCCACTAAACTCACCCACCAAACCCTCCTCACCTGCTCCCACTTTGGTCAGCATTCTAGGAGGGTACCTGGGGCATTGTGACCTGTTGCCAGGTGGGGCCCTGGGGTATGGAGGGGGCTGCTGCTGCTGCTCTGGCCTCATAAGCAGCTGGTGGCCAAGGTAGGGCTTGGCTGGGAAGTCAGAGATTTCTGAGAACTAAGACTCATCCTCTTGCCATTGCTGATTCTCTGCCCTAGGGCCCTCCCTTGGGGATCTGAGTTGTCAGGAAGGCACTCTAACCCCATTACTACTTGGGCATCTGTCCAAGGGAGTGAGATCTGCTTTCTTCTTCCTGTGAGTTTTCAGAGCTGCATGTTCAGGGGCAGGTCATTCAATATCTCTGTCCCCAGCTCTCTTCCCCATGGGCCCTTCTGGGGATTTTTCAGGCCTGCAGTTCCACCAGGCTCCCACATAACCTGCTAAATGGGGATGGGAAAGGAGGTGGCCATTCAGGTGTTCTAAGCACTACAGTTTATAGGAGGTATTATGTATACTGGGGTTCCAGAAATGAGGTAGAGGACATGAACCTAAGTGGACTGTGACCTAGTAGCCCCAGATTAGAGGTTAAGGTTGCACTCTGAGAATGGATGTAAGGAAAATAAACATCCAGTGAAGGGCTTGGTCACCTGGATTATCAGTAGATCACAATACACTGATGATTTGTAAATGAGTGGTGGCCACAGGGGTTCCAGCACATCTCAGTTTCATGACTTGAGAGGCAAGAGTGGAAATGTGTCCTAATCAAGAGAACTTAATCTTTGTCAACATATCATATGTTGAAGGAAAACAGGTAGGGGTGTCAAAAGGGGAGACAGTGGCCATACAGCCCCTAGGAGAGGAGGAGACAGAACAAGAATCAGACTGTATATCTGCCTCCAGCAGGCCTTGCCCAAAGACTCAGGCCTTGTGGCCCTGATCTCTTTGGTGCAAGTGGGCTTTGCAGCCCACAGAACCAATGTCACCAGCCCTAGGGACCATCGACTGATTGTCCTTGCTCTGGCTCTTTTTGCTTATCCAGTAACTGGGCTTTAGGGGTAAATTTGTCCATAATGGGAAAGGGTATAACAGAAGATACCAGAATTTTTTTTGTCTGTGTGTGTCTGTGTATTAAGTTCCAATTGTATTTGTAAAGAAGCATTAAGGTTTAAGATTGCCAATAAGCTGAGCCTGATCAACCCTGGATGCATCCACACATTTGCATTCCTGGACATACAGACCTGAGAAGCATGTCGGGATCCAACCCATGACCCAAACACCTCCCATCAGGCCCTACCTCCAACACTGGGGATTATATCATATTTCAGAATAAGATTTGGACAAATATTTAAACTATATGAATGGATCATAATTACTAAAAGCAGAGCCTGAGATGGGGATTCTTATACACATGGTTTATTGAGGGAGTGCTCTCAGGAGAAAAACTTTTTTTTTTTGGAGCACAGTTTTGTTCTTGTTGCCCAGGCTGGAATGCAATGACACTATCTTGGCTCACTGCAACCTCCACCTTCCAACTTCAAGCAATTCCCCTCCCTCGGTTTCCTAAGTAGCTGGGATTACAGGCGCTCACCACCACGCCTGGCTAATTTTTGTATTTTTAGTAGAGACAGGATTTTACCATGCCGGCCAGGCTGGTCTTGAATTCCTCACCTCAGGTGATCCACCCAACTCAGCCTTCCAAAGTGCTAGGATTACAGGTGTGAGCTATCATGCCTGGCCAGAAGGTGAAAATTTTTTTAAAATCAAGAGACTCTTCAGAATTGAAGGACATGATTTTCTAGACCATAAATTTCCACCAATTCACAGCACAATAAAGGAAGTTGGGCTAGCTAACACCAAGGCATATGATGAAATTCATATTACCAGGGATAAAAAGACACTCCTAAGAGCTTCTACCAAATAAAAAGATCACATACATTGCATCCGAAGCCAGAATGATATCACACTTTTAAACACCAATACTGGGTAGTTGGAAGACAATCAATGCCCTCAAAATGATTTCCAATATAGAAATGTAAATGTCAAAACCATTATTAATTGGGAGGGTAGAATAATGACATTTCAACAACAAAAGGTCTCAAAACTTTGACCTTGTATTACCCTTTCTTAGAAAACTACTGGAGGATGTGCTTAAGCAAAACAAATAATTAAACTAAGAAAGAGAGCAATATGGCATTCAATAAATGAGATTAAACACAGAAAAGGTTCAATGATGAGAAAGGCCTGGGATGTCAACTGTACCCCTAAGTAAAGAAAGTAACCAACCCGGCTTGAACCAGAAGACGTGCTCCAGGAGTGATGTCTCGGGAGAAAAATGAAATTGACTGATCATTAGCTATGTTTAGATATATTGAGTAAATATTTGGTTACACTGGAAACTTTGGGGTTGGATTAGTGATTGGTGCCTAGAAAACTAGGCAAATAATAAGAACAAAGTAATTACTAATTCCAGGTAGCACAAAAAGTTAAACATAATATTTACATGGTCATAACAAAAGCACTGAATATTGATTCCAAATGGTGGTTTATCTTTACTGAAGATGGAAGGAGGGAGTATACGTTTGTGTGTCTGGATGTGTGTATTGAGGGGAGGGTGGTAGAAAAGCTAATTCCTTAATTCTTTAGCAGAAAATCCACAGATAACAACTACATATAGAAAAATCAAGAAATAGCCAGGCACTGTGGCTCATACCTGTAATCCCAGCACTTTAGGAGGCTGAGGCGGGCAGATCACTTGAAGCCAGGAGTTCAAGACCAACCTGGCCAACATGGTGAAACCCCATCTCTACTAAAAATACAAAAATTAGCTGGGCATGGTGGCAGGCACCTGTAATCCCAGCTACTAGGGTAGTTGAGGTACAAGAATCACTTGAGCTGGGAAGTAAAGGTTGTAGTGAGCTGAGATCTTGCCACTGCACTCCAGACTAGACAACAGAGAAAGAATTTTTTTTTTTTTTTTTTTAAAAAGGCCGGGCACAGTGGCTCACACCCATAATGCCAGCGCTTTGGGAGGCTGAGGCAGGTGAATCATCTGAGATCAGGAGTTTGAGACCAGCCTGGCCAACATGGTAAAGGCCCTCTCTCTACTAAAAATACAAAAATTAGCCAGGTGTGGTGGCAGGCGCCTGTAATTCCCAGCTACTCAGGAGGCTGAGTCAGGAGAATTGCTTGAACTCGGGAGGTGGAGGTTGCCATGAGCTGAGATTGTGCCACTGCACTCCAGCCTGGGTGACAGAGTGAGACTTTGTCTCAAAAAAAAAAAAAAAAAGAAAAAAGAAAAAAGAAAGGAAAAAAGGAAATAGCAAGAAATCTCAGCATAGAGATAAATGCAGGAGAAATAACAAAAAAGAATTACAAGTGCCTGGCTTGGGAAAGGCATACAGCAGACTCTTCCATTGCAAGCCTAAATGTGATTTACCTTTAAAACTATATTGCAGCCTGGACCTTTACGGAAAACTGTATGGAGATTTCTCAAAGAACTAAACGTAGATCTACATTCAATTCAGCAATCTCACTACTGGATATTTACCCAAAGGAAAAGAAGTTATTATATCAAAAAGACACCTGCATGCATATGTTTATTGCAGCACAATTCACAATTGCAAAGATATGGAACCAACCTAAGTGTCCATCAGCTGATGATTGAATAAAGTGTAATATATGTACACACACACACACACACACACACACACACACACACACACCGTGGAATACTACTTAGCCATAAAAAATGAATAATGTTTTTTGGATGGAACTGGAGGTCATTATTTTAAGTGAAGTAACTAAGGAATGGAAAGCCAAATACCGTATGTTCTCACTTATAAATGGAAGCTAAGCTGTGGGTATGGGAAGGCGTACAGAATAGTATACAGAATAGTATAATGGACAATGGAGACTCAGAAGGGGGAGGGTAAATGGGGGGTGATGGATAAAAACCTATGTATTGCATACAGGGTATGCTCCTTGGGTGATGGATGCTCTAAAATTTTAGGTTTCATCAATATGCAATTCTCCCTTGTGACCAAAAACCCCTTGGACCCCTAAAGCTATTGAAATAAAAATTAAAACTATCTTGTAGCCTGGATGACATAGCGACATCTTGTCTCTACAAAAAAAAAAAAAAAAAAGGTAAAAATTAGCTGAGTGTGGTGACATGCCCCAGGTACTTGGGAGGCTGAGGTGGGAGGATTGCTTGAACCCAGGAGTTTGAGGCTGCAGTGAGCTGTGATTATACCACTGCACTCTAGCCTAGGCAACAGAGCAGGACACTGTATCAAAAAAAAACTCACAGAAACCAAACCAAAATATTTTGTACTGTTTTAATAAAAATGAGTTAGTTACAAAGAACAAATTAACAGACAGTGATGCTGTGGAGATCAGGAATATACCTTCCCGGGATGAATGAAAGACGAACTCCCTAAACTTACATGGATATACTCTTGTGGTTTAAGATAAAATGACCAGTGACAGCATCAAATACCAGGGATAAGACTCAGAAAGTTGTGAATCTCCTGCATTTTAAGTGGAGATGCTCTCAGCCTCCAACCTCCACCTAGTGCTTCTCAGCCTTTAATATGCATATGTATCTCCTGGGGTTGAATCCTCTGGGGGTCTTGTTTAAATGCAGATTTGTTTTGTTTTGTTTTGTTTTGTTTGAGATGGAGTCTTGCTCTGTCTCCCAAGCTGGAGTGCAGTGGTGCCATCCCAGCTCACTGCAACCTCCGCCTCCCGGGTTCAAGCGATTCTCCTGCCTCAGCCTCTTGAGTAGCTGGGATTACAAGCACCCACCACCATGCCTGGCTAATTTTTGTAGTTTTAGTAGAGATGGGGTTTTACCAT